TTCGAGGATGAATACGTTACACATATAAAAAGAAGATTATGACCTTGAATATTACAAACTTTATACATACACTAGCTGACCCAGCGAACTTCGTACCGCCATAAAAAAAAGTAATTAAAAAAACATTGTCCAGCGGACAAAGTTGTGAATCTAAACCATTCTCAGATCCCCTTGAACACACACAAAAAAATTCATCAAAATCGGTCCAGTCGTTTAAGAAAAGTTCAGTGACATACACACTCACAGAAGAATTATATATATAAAGATATTACACATTCATACTCGCGAGGGTCTTTGCTTAGCTCGCGTAGCTGCGCATCGGCATACACAAATAACTTAGCTTCGCATATACATAGGTAGCTCACATAACTTAGTTTGCATGGTTTGCAATCTGCACACAAGTATGAAAAACTGCATCAGCTATGCGAGCTCAGCTAAATTAACTTGGGTTAGCTCTTGGTCTGCAAGCCGCAGAAGAGTTTTGGGTGTCTTTTGAAATTTTCTTTTTATTTCATTTTGACTAATTCTTTTTCGTCTGCATACAAACTTTTATCTTATATATTTCATCCTCTATATCAGTGGTTCTCAAACTTTTTAAATGACGGAACCCTTTTGGGAAGCAAAATACTTGATGGAACCCTACAATAAAACAATTATTTTTATAAGTGTATTCTATATTAATCAGCATAATAAAAGTACAATGTATCCGTTACTAATTATTATTTACTTCACCACTTGGTAAGGACAATAATAGAAAACATTAAAAAAGAAAAAATCTAACTAGTGGGAGGTATGAAACTGTTTTTTATTTTTCATCAATTGCTTGATATCAGGTTTGATGGAAGAAAGTTGGAGTCTCATATCAGCTTCGGCGTCCAGTCTATTGCGATATTTTGTTTTCGTGGCTGCGTAGGTAGAGAATCCTGTTTCGCACAAATATGTAGTTGGGAACGGGAGAAGAATATCCAGAGCCATTTGGCCAAGCATTGCATATTCATCTTGGATTCTGCACCAAAAATCATTAAGAGGCGTCGTTTTGAACAATGACTCCATACTTGTGTCTGATGACATTTCTAAAAGAGATTCATATATCTCATTTGACATGTTTTCAGGCTTTTCCAAGTTGGGTAAAAAAGGATTATGAATCCAGGAGTTCACTTTAATTTTTGTATTGTGTTCTTCGGGAAAATACTTTTCAAAAGATGCGCGCATCGAACTGAGATATTGGACCAATTCTTCAAACACATTATCTTCAAACATTTCTGAGTCGTTTTCGCTAACAAACTCAGTGAGTAACGTAAAACTTTCTATTTCTTTCTTACCAATGCAAATGATCCAAAAATCTAATTTTCTTTTAAAAGTAGTTATTTTATTATAGGCCTGAAACACTGTTGTCTGTTTACCTTGCAATGATAAATTTAATTCGTTAAGTTTTTGAAAGATATCCGCCATAAAAGACAATCGGAACAACCAAGTTTTATCATACAAACGGTCCTTCAAATTAAAAGAAGTATCTGCTGAAAGAAACATTTGTAACTCGGCTCTAAGTTCAAATAGCCTTGTTAAAGTTTTTCCCCGAGACAGCCATCGCACTTCTGTATGGAGCAGCAGTGTTTTATGTTTGCTGCCATAATCTTCACACAATAATGAGAACAATCGGGATTGTAGTGGTCGTGATTTGATAAAATTAATTATTTTTACCGCTTCATCCATAACTAATTTTAGATTAGACGGCATTTGCTTCATCGCAAGTGCTTGTCTATGCAGAATACAATGACTGGAACTACAATTAGGCGCTTTATTTTTCATTCGTGACACTGCTCCTGCTGTTTTACCTGTCATCGCCTTGGCCCCATCTGTACAAATGTCAATGCAATTGTTCCAACTGAGATTATGTTCTTCAAAAAATATATTTATTTTATTAAAAATTTCTTCCCCGGTAGTGTTTGTAAGCAGCGATGAACACATAAGCATGTCTTCTTCAAAAGAACTTTTATATGGATATCTCACAATAACCAGCAGGATAGCCAAACCAGCGACATCAGTCGACTCGTCCATTTGCAAAGCGAATCGTGTATTTTGTAGACGTGTAACTAGTTCTTGTTTGACGTAGCTTGCCAGATCATGGATTCGTCGTGAAACAGTATCGTTTGATAGCGGAACAGTAGAAAGATGCTTTGCAGATTTTTCATCAAGCATACATTTTGTTATGTCTAATACACATGGTTTTATTAATTTCTCAGCGATAGTGTGCGCTTCACCTGCTTGTGCAATGCGATAGCTAACTAAGTATGATGCCTCCGTGGCCTTTTCGTTGGTAGTTTGTGTTACATGCATCATATTTTTTTGACTTTCTAATAACTGATCTTTTTTGCGAACAAAAAATTCTTTATTCTTGTCTTTAGTCTCGGGGTGTACGGTTTCTAAATGTCGACGCAATTTGGCAGGTGCCATGGAACTATTAGGAAGCAGTTTACTACAGAGCATGCAGAGAGGTGAGCCGTTGGAATCAACAAATCCGAAACTGATATAAGATTCATCATACTTCCTTTTTTTCGTCTTTGAAACCGTCGAGCTTGACGTCGTGGCACTCGTGGCATCATCTTCTGGATCGGTGATTGCTAAATTCTCCGCGCGCATTGCTTTTGAACATTCAGCGTCATTAGAAGATGTTGTTGGAACACGTTTAACACCTTTAAGCCAACGTTCCATTCTTCTTTATTTATAATGTTACAAGTCAGGATAGTGGGGTTTAAATAATGCACAATCGTTACTGCGTATAAGAGACTAAATTTAGAACCTACAGGGAAGAAATGTATAAAACTGAGACAACAGAATACAGCAGGCAGTAAAACAATGAACACCAGTTTCTCGCTAGCGAGCTTGTAAGTAGGTAGTAACTTATCGCTCCGAACGCTAATCATCAACTGACGACGCCAACGCGCGATCGCCGCTTTTATACTTAGTCCTAGACTCGATCTCAAATATTCTCGAAAATACTCGAGTCGGCACCTTTGATAAACAAAAAGCAAAAATAAAAACAGAAATTTAAAAATAGCGTTGTAAACAATATCGACTTTATCCTTTGAAGTTAGAGACGAAAGTCGCTAGTTGACAACTATAGCGTCTAATTCAGAGGCGGCTTTTATCAAAGAGACTGAGCGCTTACAAGTATACTACCCGCTCGTTTTAAGTTTGCCGCTGGCGATAGGTATGAGTGTATGACGTTCGAAATTTTTTATTTAATTGTAACAATAAAAATTGTGTACGTTAGATATTTGGGTAAAACTATGACACATTATAAGTTTTGTTGTCACGTGGGGGAGGGTACGCGCATTCCACAGACCGGCAAACTTAGAGCGAACGCGTTGTACAAGTATAAAATTGTTGAGACCAAACTTATGAGATATTGTACCAGCTAATGTAACACAAGCTTATACAAATACAAATAAATAAATAAATAACATTCATAGCGTTTTGTCTCCGCGCGGCCGCGGAGTCCGCACAGCCGCGGAGCGACCAGAGAGAGGTGTTTTGATTTTTTTATTTCTAAATTCTTGCGGAACCCCGACAGAGGTATCACGGAACCCTAGGGTTCCGCGGAACACACTTAGAGTATAGCTGCTCTATATCAACTCCATCAGATTTTATTCCTCTACACAGGTAGCGTGTCCTTTCAGGGTCCTTGTTTGTTCGTCCCAAGTATTAATTCCATATAGAAATTCATTAAAATCGGTTAGGGTTTAGCTTGGTTTTGTTGAGCAGAAGACAGAAATAGTATGCAATACTTTTTCTCACACGTAAGAATTTGTGTTCGAATCCGAGCGCCTCCCCTTTATGACTCTCTTAGGAGAAGAAAGTGGCAAACATTTTGTGGTCTGATTAGTTATTTGCTGTACATACAACATAACATTTTTATTTTCAATTGTTAGGCACCAATCTACTTTGTACCTAGATGGTAATCATTCCACTCAGGTATTCCTTATCCAATGGGATGTTGAGCCCTTTCCAGGATAAGCTCCTAATGATATGATTAAAGAAAATGGCTCCGTTATATACACCCTAGATACCGTATTAACTGCACGGAAGCGGCATAAAAATATCAACTGCATATGGTAGACGTGCTCGTCGCTATACACGCACACATCGACTGCTTTAGTACAATCTGACACCAGAGTCACGCACACATTGCGCGAAACATAAGCCGTTTTCTTTGCGTGATTTATTTGGATTACACTTTCAAGGCGTATAAATAATCAAAGGAAAATAGTCTTTTCGCTTATCACTCTTCACTTGCACCATGTTCTTTCTGTACTATTTTAGATTTCGTGCAAAACCCGCTTTTGGTTAACAAAATCTAATTTTTCATAAGGTGCCGTGCTTCGGTGTCACTGCCTCGGATCGGGAGTGCCGTGTTCGCGTGCCGGGCGGGTTTTGTAACGCCAATATCTATAATTGCGCTGTCTTTGCCACGAAATTAATTCCGAACGATCGGAGATAAGGCATGCCAGAAAGTAGACTTCGTAGTAGAATTGGCGCTTATTTCGTTTTATCCTCGTATGTTTTTGTTGATCGTCAAAATTTTAGTAACGATATAAGTACACGGAGTTCTTTGTATTGGCAGCAGACTATCAAAGATGAAATGGTTTTTATGGATACATACAGAACCTTTCATAGTTACACCGCAACGACACTACATCTGGTTTTACAAACTCGGTGAAGCTGTAAAGATTATCTGCGACTAACAGCATAAACACTATAAAAAAAAACACACGGAACTGTCTCCTAAACTACTACCCATTGATATATTGTTTTAAGCTTTCATGGTCACTAACATTATAGCTATTAACGGGATTGTTACCATGTACCTTGTTTTTTATGAGTCTCCGATATTTTATTACTACCCATTGATAGGCCTTATATCTCCGTGCCATATTAGCAGCTAATTCTAACATGGAAAGTTTAATACAAAAGTTTTTACTTGACTCTCGTTTGTGCAGGAACACTTTTCATATCTGAAGGAAGCGGCACCCCAAGCGGAGCCAGTCAAGTTGGAGCAGCTATTGTCGGCTGCGTACGCGCTGATCAGCCCGGAGCTACAACAAGTCAGTCTGCCCGACTACCCAGTAGACAGCTTGCAAGCATCTGCCCTAAAACTGGTAAATAAATAATAATAAATATTTCCGACACTCATACCAATTAGCTTAGCCCCAAAGTAAGCACTATAAGGCTTGTGTTATGGGATGCTAGGGTAACGGATGGAATACATATACCGTACATATATAAGTATATTTATATAAATACATATTAAACATCCAATAATGCACATTTTCAACATTAACACCAATTAGCCTAGCCTCAAAGTACTTACTTCCTTTTGTGTTATTGAATAATAGGATACCACACATAATGATAAATATAGGCGTATATTTTTCTAGTTTTTTTTATAAACAGACTTAGGTACAAATGCTCATTAATCATACATAAATATTTGCCACACCGGCGACACCGGGGTTCGAATCTAGGATCTCTGAGTAGGTGACATCCTGAAAACCAGTATACATATCACTCACACCCCGGAGGTCGTCGACAGAAAGCAATTAAGGACTCCACCCCGACCAACGGGTCAACTAGTTTTCTTTCCTAACCGTACAACTATTTCTTGGGCAGGAAAGAATGATTTTAAAAAAAGATACATTTTAGATTTCATAAGTGCAACTTTCACCCTGATATTAAACTTCAATGTCTTCCTCGATGGATCTAATAATAAGTCGTATTTGGTTGTCAAGGGTTAGTTGTGCCGTTGGGAATGAAAAAAATAATAATTAGGCATCCGAACAATAACTTGGTTTCTTGGAACAAATACCTTGGCCAATTTCCATTTGGCACAACTAATTTATCGGTTCAGTTGGTCAGAGTGGAAGGAGGGCAATAAGATATTCCGAAATTATCAATTATTATATTTAGATGTTATCGTAAATCATAACTTGTGGCGCCTATCCAACAATCTTTCGCGTGACACCTCACGACCTTCCAACGACTTTAGAGGGAATATGTCTTCTCACGCGACCTTATCATCAGGATATCCAAGGCCGTCTGTCTGGGCGCCAACGATGTAAAAACCATTGTAACTTTAAGCTCATTTTACACTTGGAGCTTGTTTTTCATAGTTCTCACTCTCACTAAAAAAGTTGTTTTCGCTTCTTCCATTTAATATGTTAATTTAACACTGAATATTCCAGTATATAACGATCATAGGGAATTTAACGATTTCGTGATAAATAGAACATTAATTAGCATCATTTGCTGTATAAGGTACACCAATCACCAACACCACCAACTCGCATGTATCGTTTCTCTAACTTCGTTATTTATTTTATTATATATTTATTTATTTAACGTCTAAAGTAAAGAGGCGTCCGATAAAAAACTCCGGAATCCAAAAAGGCTTAATATGTGCAAATACACAGGGAAAATAATTAGTTATTTTCGAAGCTTTAGCAATAACTGGATAAATGCCATTGGCGAAAGCGCGCGAAGGAAACGTGTTTCAGCGCAAGTTATTTTACTGCTACTAAAATATATTGAGCAAAATATAATATGTTGAGCAAAGTGCTGGATTGCAGTTTCAATTCGTGTATGAAAAATTTCTTTTCACTTGTGTGGAATTGTCTCAATGTGGTTAAGGATTTACGATTTTTACGGTAGTTTCAATTTGCCGATATTTTGACTTCTCAGGGCTGCTGACGGTACCGGGCTTATAGTTCGTAACAATGGCAGGGTTTGAATTTTGAAATGTTTAAGATTGGCATGCTTGATAACTACTGTTGCCTCGGAAAATTAGGAAATAGCATGATATGTTTTGTCCTATGCAATTTTAAAGGAATCTTGTCTCTATTCATTTGTTGTGCAGAGCGATATTAATTTGTATTGATCCTCTCAATTCAAATGTATTTATGACGGCTGTAGTTGATTTTCATACCTACTGTATCAAAACTTTTATTTCTGACTTCTTTACCCTCTCAGAACCAAGGAAGACAAATGATACGGCACTTTTAAGAGGAATGTTATTATGTTAATTCTTTTATATTGTAGGAAAGAAACCCTGGCATACCAGTCTATAAGCTGCTTTATTATCTGTACCCCTACAACACGTTCCTATCGAAAGATCACGTGAAAAACGTAGAGGTGGTGTTAAAGAACTTGAAAATAGACACCGCTCCTAAATGGGATATTTCTTTGAAAGGCGTGGAGTACACGGGAGATCAGGCCGTAGTGTCTATGAAAATCAATGGTGCTAAGTCTCAATTTCCTGTGCCATGTGGTGGGAGGGCGAAAAATGAGATGGACGCGAGACGCGTGGTGAAGACAGCATATCAGACAGAACTGTTAAACGAACTGCTTCTGAGTCACAGTGTTGGTGACTTTTGTGTCGTTGGTAAGTTTTTTTATTGTTCGTATTTCTTTCGTTCGTATTGAACATTCTAATGTTCAGTCGTTAACAGTTTATTTAAATAGATGATAGATAATGAATGCATAGGAATTAGTTTTGTAATGGCTATTAGGTTTTAGGAGATTTTATTAATTTACTAGCGGCCGCCCGTGACGCGTGCAGTTAGTTAAAAATAAAGGTTCACTGCTCGTTCCCCGTAGGTGATAGTTTAGGTTCAAAGATAATTTATTTCCCATAAAGACAAACAGTCCACTTAAAATGAGAATATATTTATAACATGCAGTTGTGTATTACTTATTGCTCCTTTTGGAACATCGGATATTACAGTTACAAATTTGATACTAATACTTAAGTTCAACACCCTTGAAAAGTAGTTGTCACTTATGTCTTTCTTGTTTTATGACTTAATTTTTCAAAGCCCAGTGTTAATAATAGTAAGTTATTTGAGCATTCACAATGTTATTCTTATGTAAATAACAAAACAATTATATATAATATAATTAAAAAATAAATAAAACATAATCGACTCGACTATTCCTTAGGCGGAAATGAAATACAAATATAGGTTAGGTTATAATATAACCTATATGTTGACCCGACTTCTTAATAATATTCGTGCTTAATTTGAAGTAAATCCATGCAGTACTTTTTGAGTTTATCCCGGACATACATTCTGTATGTATGTCCGAACAGAAACAGACAAAAATTCTAAAAACTAAATTTTTGGCTTCGGTATCGATTCTAGATCACACCCCAAGTATTCTTTTAAAAAAATATTCAATGTACAGTTTTGACTTTCCTACCATTTTATTATATGTATGGATTAAGGTTATCATTACCTTTATTCCATACTTAGGATATCTTTAATTTATGAGTTTAACAGCCGGTAGCAGTTCATAAAACATTGCACTACTTTTCATGAGTCGCGTCAAAAAATCTCCTCACATCATTTTCAGGTCCAAAAGGTTGTGGCAAGAGTCTTCTCGTTGCGCGATTAGCGTCTTTATTGGGCTATACGATAGAACCCATAGTCCTATACCAGGACATGACAGCCAGAGACCTAGTTCAGCAACGAACGACGTTAGATAATGGTGATACGGTGTGGAGAAGCTCTCCTCTTGTGGATGCAGCTCTGAAAGGGCACATGGCAGTTCTGGACGGGTTACATAGGATACACGCTAGTACGCTGGCTGTTCTACATAGGTAATGTTGTTTTTATATTGGAAAGTTTTAAATAAAGTATTTGTTTAGCTGGTTTCTAAAAGAAAGTGGTTTTTAAATTAATTAATATGCCCACGGGGTTACATTCAAGTTTTTATTGCTTAACCTCATCGTTCAATCTTGTTGTTTGATGTCTTTATTGTTTCAATATCTCTTCTTCGTATAGATTCAATGGTAAATCTTTATATATATAATTCTTATGTGAGTGTGTATGTCACTGAACTTCTCTTAAACGACTGGACCGATTTTGATGAAATTTTTTGTGTGTGTTCAAGGGGATCTGAGAATGGTTTAGATTCACAATTTTGTCCGCTGGACAACCCCTATTTTTTAGGGCGGTACGAAGTTCGCTGAGTCAGCTAGTTTCATTATAAATGTATATTTTTTCTAAAAATATAGAAAATAGAAAATCAATTCGTGTTGATCCACTAACTATTTATCTACCGGGATTTTACGAGTGTGTCCGATTTCTTGTAGTATTTCTTAGACTGCAAGACGAGATGAGGCCCCTAGATCACAGCTCCGATTGCTCTGGCTGTAAACACATTATATCTATGTCTGTATTTTTCAGATTGGTTCATGATAGAGAATTGCAGCTTCATGACGGCACTCGGCTACTACGTCATGATAGATACGATCAGCTGTTAGCTGCTGGACTAACGGAACAAGATCTCGAAAATAGTGGTATCAAGAAGATACACCCGGCATTCAGGTACGCAATATTATCTTCTCATGAGCATTGTTTTGACAACCGTCTTCGAGAAAAAGCGAAATTGCTGTACTGGCCAATATTTTTTAATAAAATATGTTTTGAGCAAAAAATTTTATATTTAAAATTGCAAAAAAACCTGTGAGAAATTCAAATGTTTGAAAAGCAGCGGACCGGTTGTGACGTAGAAAACCATAATATTACTCACAGAGTGTGAGCAATATTATGGCGAGTAGAGCGAGCGATACCACTGTGACTTACAGTGGTCTCCCACAGGTTTTTTTGCAATTTTAAATATTACATTTTTTGCTCAAAACATATTTTATTAAAAAATATTAATGGAGGGGACAATTCATAAGTTATAGATCTTATATTTAAAAAATAATCAGCCTTGTTTAAAGAACATGCATATTCCCTATCCTTCATTCCTGGAAAAAACTTACATTTGGTAATAAAATTCTTCTGTAGAATAGTAGCATTAGCTGAGCCGCCTATATTGGGACGCGGACAGCAGTGGCTCTCCCCGGAACTACTCAGTCTCTTCGTGTTTCACGAAATGAGGAACCTCAGCAAGGAGGAAGAGATTTTCGTCATCAATAGCTTGGTGAGATACTGATATTTTATTTCATCAAAATCAGATATGTATTTGGACTATACCTTTACCGAGTAGAATTTATCCTAGAAAAAATCTCTTTAGTTCAGAACTATGAAAGTGCTTAAAAGAACAAAGATTATGGCTTACACTACTATCTGATTTTTTAGCAATTTTTATTGAATTTATTGAGATTTTAATAAGTGAGTCTTTTTATGTATAATTTAAGAGGTTTTTTTGAGATAATTTGTACTGAGGTACAAAAATGGGCGAAAAACGAAGGTCTTCTTTGTACGGAACACTCGGTAGGCGAATCTGACTCACACTTGTCAGGCTTTTTATTCGAGTAAAATTCTCTTTAGATCATAAGCCTTGCTTAAAAGGTACTATTATCGGACAAGTATATATATTACTAATGTCATTTTCCAGTACGGTGACATTTCACAACCACTGCACTCCATAATCAACCTCGCGGACGAGCTTCGTAGCTCAGATGACGGCACACTCAAGAACCTATCGTCTTCTCTTTCCACCCGGCAACTTTTACGAATCGCTAACAGAATGGCAAAGTACCCTACAGATTCGGCTTACGAAACAGTCCAAAGAACGTTCCTAGCAAAATTCCTGCCTAATTTAGCGAGACGGGCGCTAGATGGCGCTAGTCAACGAATTGGTATAGAACCGCCCAGTCGCTTTGGAATTTTCGGCGGCAATCCCAAAGAAACGAAAGTCGCGTGTTCAGTACAAAACGGGATACTAACTATAGGAAATACCAGCACAGAAGTGTTCAAAACGCAAGCTTTGACCAAAGTACCGGATATTTTATTTTATGACGTACCCCAACATGTGAAATTACTCGAATGGTTGCTGCAAGACTTCTTATTGGGCAACCATTTACTTCTGGTCGGAAATCAAGGAGTAGGAAAAAACAAAATAGCCGATAGATTGCTTCAACTTTTGAACAGGCCAAGGGAATACATCCAGCTTCATAGAGATACGACTGTCCAATCTTTGACTGTGCAACCGACTGTGAAAGATGGCGTTGTTGTATATGAAGATTCTCCTTTAGTAAAGGCTGTTAAATTCGGCCACGTTTTAGTCGTGGATGAAGCTGATAAAGCGCCTACTCATGTTACTTGTATACTAAAGACTTTGGTCGAGAACGGAGAAATGATACTAAGTGACGGTAGGAGGATAGTGCCTAAAGATATGATTGAAAGTTCAGGAGGCGATATGGAGACTTTTATACCCGTGCACGATGATTTCCAGATGATTGTCTTGGCTAATAGGCCCGGATTCCCGTTCTTGGGAAATGATTTCTTCGCTTCTTTGGGTATGTTATTTCTAAATATACAGTCATATATTTTGGGATCATAATAGTATTCTTGGATTGTATGACGCACTTATTCAAAAAGCATTATATTTATTTGATTTTTCAATATACTAAAACGAGTATTGTTAAATTGAAATGAAACATTAGTTTAGGCATAGAATTGATAATATTATATACCACAAAAAACATAAATCAATTGTTTATTAAGATTAGTTAAATATAAATTTTTATCTGTCCGTTGGCGGGTAGATATTGATTTGTGACCAAACCTTATGCTGTAATGATGATGATGTGAATGATGATAAACAATTTAGTGAACCAATATTTCCAACTTTCGCAGGTGACTTATTCTCCTGTCATGCCGTAAACAATCCATCAGTAGACTCTGAAATGGAATTGCTTCGTTCCTACGGCCCTGACGTTCCTCATAATGTGATGCAGAAGTTGGTGCAAGCTTTTGCTGTATTACGCGAAAAAGCAGACCAAGGACAACTGACTTATCCTTATAGTACTAGGGAATTGGTAAACATCGTCAAGCATTTGCAGGTCAGTCTAATATGTTCCTTTTTGTGTTAGCAATAAGAGTGATTTTTATAGTTGATCATAAAGCCGATCAAGGTTAGCTGACTTATCCATGTAGCACTAGGGAACTAGTTTACATCGTCAAATATTTACAGGTCAGTCCAATTTGTTCCTTTCGGGGTTGATAATAAGAGCGTTTTTATAGTTGGTTTATGCTTTTGCTGCTTTACGCTACAAAGCAGATTAAGGGCAGTTGACTTATCCTTATAGCATAGTAGGGAACTAACAAACATCGTCAAGCATTTACGTTTTACTCTGATTTGTTTGTTATTGCGTTGATAATAATAGTATTTTTTAAAGTTAGTTTAATAGAGCCGGTCAAGGGCAATTGACTTTTAGATATATACCCGCTATAGTACTAGCGAACTGGTTAACGTCATTAAACATTTACAAGTTATTCGTGGTGGTAGTTGTGGTAGTCTAATTTATTCCTTTTAGTGTTGACAATAAATTTGGTGCAAGCTTTTACTGTATTCAGCGATAAAGCTAACGAAGAGAGAGTGAAGAGAGAGTATGAGAGAGATTTTTTATAGTTGATACAGCGCTGTAGGCTCAAGACCAATAAGGGCAGAAAAACTGAAAACAGATTCAAAACTTTTGTTATGGTAGTTTAATTAGACAAAGCATTCGCCCAAAAAGCGAATGTGGTAGGAAGCGGTACTTGTAAGAAAGCTTTTAGGTATTTTGCCACTGAACGTCGCTACTCCACAGCTGCAAAAGATATTTCATATAAAAAAACGAGCGAGCCTAACAGTAGTCTCGTATGTTGTGTAACATTTGAAACCTCACCTTATATTAGTAAAAAAGGAACCTACTACAAAAGGAATAAGCCATTTGAACATTATGTTCTAAAATCAAATCAAATAAATAATAAATATTTCCAACACTAACACCAATTAGCCTAACCCCAAAGTAAGCACTATAAGACTTGTGTTATGGGATTCTAGGGTAACAGATAGAAGTTATTGGCAGACATGTCGGTCTACCCTCTGACGTCGTCTTTTACTGCGCTCGATACCCCTACCATTGGTCACATTCTCACTATTCACTCGCACCTGTTCCCGACACACAATACTCACAGTGTCAGATCGTGGAACGACACTTTATGTGTAACAATCGCAAAAATCAAAAAAGTGTCGTACCACGATCTGATCGTACCACGTACCACGTGCCGAAATATCGGAGACTAATAAAAAACAAGGTACATGGTAACAATCCCGTTAATAGCTATAATGTTAGTGACCATGAAAGTTTAAAACAATATAACGGATAGAATAGATATATAAGTATATTTTTATAGATATACATATTAAACATCCATGACTGGAGTTCAAATGCTCGTATTCATCACACAAACATCTGCCCCCATCGGGATTTGAACCCGGGACCTCTCGAGTCGGCGACACCATGAAACCCGGCATACAAACCACTCGACCACAGAGGTCGTCGAAGCGCGCGCTTCCCAAACTTCCTGTTACACACTTCCGTCCCACTTTACGTAATTTTACAAATTGCACGAAAGCGAGAGAAAAAATGTTATAGGTACATCAAAAATTATGATTTATTGCTTACCCATAGAAATACCCAGACGAAGACCTAGCCACAGCCATCAGCAACGTTTTTGACTTCGATCGATACAGCAAGGATATGGCGGACACTCTTCTAGAAGTATTGCACGCTAGCGGTTTGCCTACCGAAGGTGTTCTAGATGGAAGATCAAAGGAAGCCTTGAAGAAGCTGCAGATGACTATAGAGAGGACAAGCGGGTGAGCAATCGTATATATAAATAAAACTCAAAGGTGACTGACTGACATAGTGATCTATCAACGCACAGCCCAACCCACTGGACGGATCGGGCTGAAATTTGGCATGCAGGTAGATGTTATGACGTAGGCATCCGCTAAGAAAGGATTTTGATCAATTCTACCCCCAAGGGGATAAAATAGGGAATGAAAGTTTGTATGAAACTTTGTCAATTTTAAACCGATCTGGCTGAGACTTTGCATGCAGGTATAAGAAGAATCATAGATGAATGTCATTGTGTATAATACAAGCCTGAGAACAAAAACTGTTGTCTACACTTCAGCTCTACACCGAAGTGAAGCGAGGGCGGACCGCTAGTTATATATAAAAAGAATCAATATTTAGATTTTTTAAGCATTTAACTGCTAGATATTTAAATATAACTTTATTTTTACTAGAAAAATTCCATGCGGTCCAGGCAGCAGACGGGACTCGAACCCATATCTTCCGCTCTCCAGGTTCTTCGCATCGTAGGTAATCCACAATTTCTTGCAACCTAAAAATACCTAGAAAATTCGACACGGCCATTAAAGTCTCGGTGGCATAATCGGTTAGTGCGTCCGTCTGGTTAGCGGAAGATGCTGGTTTGAATCCCGTGTGAAAGGAACAAGTGGGATTTTAGTCATATTTTTTTAGATTTGAATATGTAGCAGTTAAATGCTTAAAATAAAAAATATAGAATAATAAATAAACGCTTTTCCTTCATATTTGTTTCTTTTGTTTTTCGCACACCAATGATTTATTAAAACACTTTTTGTAGTAATATGTTCTTTAAAGTTAAAACTGTTTGTTTGTTAGCAAAGACGTGTCCAGCCCCAAGCACGGCAAAGAGGACCCCAAGAACGAGCCCCACGTGGGCGGGAACACTTGGGCGGGCGGCACGGGAGGGCGGGACACCGCCGGCCTGGGCGGCAAGGGCGGGCCCTACCGCCTCGACAAGGGCCATAATGTGCATCAAGTTAGTCGTCTATATTTATATCACACTAATATTAAAAAGAGGAAAGATGTGTTTTTTTGTATGTATGTAACGAATAAACTAAAAAATACTGGATCAGCAGGCCATTCGCCTAACGAGATAACTATGGCTATCGCTAGCGCTTACGATTTAATTTTGTTATTTTTGACCGCTGAAGGTTTTCAAATGCCCCGCAATCTTTTTTTTTCTTTTAAATTGGTAACAACAATATGAAAGAAAATGAGCGTAAGGTATTTGAAAACTTTTGGTGGTCAGAAATAACAAAACGAAATAGTAAGCGATAGTGACAGCCATAGTAGTTCCATTAGGTGATTAGGGGTCACCCCTGGATTGGAAAATACTGAACTTTAATAGTTGGATTGGATCTCGATACGCGTCAAATGCTAAGAAGTTTTGTATGAAAGATTTTTGAAGTGAAAACTTTTTTAGCGGCGTTGTACACTTTTTTGTATGGGTAAAAATGTTAATCTCGCGTCAGGACACGTGACCTAATCGAAACTTCGTAAGACGAAAACAATAAAATTGGAAAGGTTGTTGACTTTCAATATATTGGACGAAACATAGTAATATTTTATTTCATCGTATTATAATAATAAGTCTCTATCTAGGATGTCCAGGTGGCAGCTTTATTGCAAAGAAATAGCATTTTTTACAATAGATGTCGCTAGGTGTAAATGTGATTCATGTAAGTTGATTTTTCTGAGAGATAAACTTTTTAACGTAATATAAATTGTCATGTTTGTGTACGATAGCGCAATAAATGATATTACTTTTATACTGATAATTAAAGCAATTCGTGCAAAGTTATTCCCTAACCATTCCAAAATATCAAAAATGCACAACTTTAATATTCAAGTTTTCACTTCTGCCGGAGTGCAACCCGTGGATTTTTTAATTCTCGTCTGTTGTGGCTCTGTTCAAAGATCCATACAAATCTTCTTGGATATTGACGCGTATCGAGATCGAATTCCACTATGCGATATTGGTTCGTTTTGTGGTATCTCTATGAATGTAGTATTTCGAATATTGATTAGTTGGTGTGAACATGTATACGAAAAAAAAAATCCTTTTCCAGTTGTCGGATGCGGAAAAAGACGACATCCCGGAGCATGTGAAGAAAGCTGCTCGCGAGATGAACCGAAAGGCTTTTGAGGAGAGATTGAAGGAAATAAAAATGAGCGAATATGACGCTAAATTGTATGAGCAATTCTTACGAGCGGTCCAGCCCCAGGTAAGGCAAAAAGTTGTATAGGGCATTTGATATGTTTTAGTAAACGATCTCACGTAATTCACTAAGGTTTATGCAGTCCATATAAAGTAGATTCACCATTCTGTTGTATTTTTCAGTAAAAAAACCTAAATCATATTTTCAATTAGTGCGAAAATGTTATTCTAGACATCATAGCTGCGTTCGGTATTTGCATCGCAGAGGTGACGCATTTTTGGTCACGTGATCACAGTTAATCTGAGCAAATTGCCACCCGTAGATTAATTTCTAATCTTACCTCAAACAGATACTAACCTCACAGATAACATGCAGATAACTCCAATAAAAATATCTTCTAAAATACTCCGAGCAAACAGATTTACATTGGACTGATCTGAGCTGAACTACTGAACGCTTCAGATTTACTAAAGATAAAATAGTTTTATTTAATGAGTGATGTGCGTGAAAACCTAAGAAACAAATATATTTACTATAGATGTAATAAATGAGCGATTCAGATTAAAACGATTGATCAGACGCAATTAACGAACGCAGCTCATGGCGTAGCCTGTAAAGGCTACGAAACGTCAATAAATAAATAAAGTTTCGTGCATTAACCCGTAAAAACTAGTTTTATTTAATGAGTGATGTGCGTGAAAACCTAAGAAACAAACATATTTACAATAGATGTAATAAACGAGCGATTCAGACTAAAGTGATTGATCAGATGCAATTAACGAACGCAGCTCATGACGTCTCACTGGTATGTGACGTCACACGACTGTCACTAAAACGTCAAATGATACAATGTAATGTTACTTGACCGGAAGTTTACTAGCGTGTGATGTCATTTTAGTCTTCGCCAATCCCGGGCGATTTCGGTCACGTGACCATTAAGCAGAAAACATCATTTCTATCCCATGATTTTTTAAGAAAAGTTCTCAATTATTTGTTCTTTCAAAATAGTATAATCACTGATAATATTCATATCCAATACAGATGCCAACAATTTGTACTTTTTTTTATAGCGAAGTAGGCAAATGACTCTACCCCACCCGATGTTAAGTGGTGATAAAATCCAAACGCGAAGATAGCTGGTACAGCAGTTATAAACTGCAATACCAACCATACTCTCCTTGCCGGCCTGCAAAAATGCTTCTTCACGCCTCTCTTAAAGGACCCCAGATTGTAGGAAGGAGATAAGATGAGACTTTATTTTACACACTGGCAAATAGCCTAATGTTTATGCGTTTTCTTTATTATATTGATTGTGGGGCCCTCTTCGATGTAACATAGATAACTCGATTTTATTAATAACGTTAGAGGAGTTATTAATAAAAACGATGAGCGCATTCGGGCGTTTATTTAATTGCAAATAAAGATTATTATTATTATTCGGTCTACGATTGTGGGAGTTAAGCAACTATCGCAATGCCGATTAAAGGATAGGTGAACAAGAATTTATCACCTCGAGCTTTAAGCCATTTGTTCTCGTTGTATCTGCATTTGTTAGCATCCACCCATACAGACTGGGTTCGATTGGTGGGTCATTCTTTTTATTATATCCATAGGGAAGATTTGTGTCCCAGCCGTGGCGACTTTAATACGCCGATGATGATGATTTATAAAGTACTAACCTATCAAGATAATGACTGTGTTAATTTATTATTGTATCATTCAGTTACTAGTTTAATCGGTCCTTAGATTATATACTCACCTACATAGAGCAATCAAAATAAACCACGCAAAGAAAACGGCTCATGTCAGATTGTTTGACGAGCATATCTACCATATGTAGTAGATATTTTTTGAGGCGCGTCCGTGCAGTTAATACTGTATCTAGACGTATATAAAATATAATAAGAGCATCGGTCACTGTTTTTGGTTTTAAAATAAGAGACTTCTTTTGTAATTAAAATATACTTGTTTCCAACGATATTAAATAACCTAGATACACCAACAAGAACGAAATCATGCCTGAAACTTGTCCAAAAGGTACATTTTACGATCCACAGAGCTGCGTAAGATGATTGCGTAGTGAAAAACAATATAAGCCATTATTTAAACATTGAAAGTCACCTTTAATGCATACTGTATAAAGTCTTAATTAAAACGTCTACGTGATAGCGTTATGAGAGTTCGAAGTGCAAGTAACATTTCACGGGAAAATGTCATCGAGTGCCGGAACAAACTTGTGTCTGAAGTACAAACTTTGTTAAACCGAGTAACGAATTGGGTCCGACTTAATCTAGTCCAATTTAACCCTACGAAGACACAAGTATGCGCGTTCACCGCAAAAAAAATACCATTTGTCGTATCTCCTCTTTTTGAGAACACTCCTCTAACTGCCTCAGCTAGTATTGGAATTCTTGGCGTTGACATATCGAGCGACGTCCAGTTTCGGGATCATTTAGAGGGCAAGGCCAAATTGGCCTTTAAGAAGCTTGGTGTGCTCAATAGATCGAGAATGTACTTCACACCGGCCCACCGACTGCAGCTTTATAAGGCACAGGTTCGGCCTCACATGGAGTGCTGCTGTCATCTTTGGGCGGGGGCACCCCAGTACCAGCTTCTCCCTTTGGATCGCATCCAGCGCCGTGCGGCTCGAATAGTCGACGACCAGGACCTTTCCGATCAGCTTGATCCTTTGGCTTTGCGTAGGGATGTAGCTTCGCTCTGCATCTTCTATCGCATTTATCACGGGGAGTGTTCTGAGGAATTGTTCGGATTAATTCCAGCTACTGCATTTCGCCATCGTACATCGCGACAAAAATTTCATCCCCATCATCTTGATGCGTGGCTATCCACAACCGTGCGTTTTCGTCGAAATTTTTTACCACGTACGACAAAACTGTAGAATATGTTGTCGCCAGCAGTGTTTCCGGACTGATACGACCCAAAAACCTTCAAAAAAAGAGCGTACTTCTTCCTTAAAGGCCGGCATCGTATTTGTGATACTCCTGGTGTTGCAAGTGTCCTTGGGCGACGGTGATCACTTACCATCAGGTGAGCCGTCTGCTCGTATGCCCCCTATAACATAAAAAAAAGAAAAAAAAGATAATCACGGGATATTTTTTCGGCATTTTTTAACCGTGGTGAGGTTTAAGACTATCCCCCCCCCCCCCCCCCAAACAAAAGCACTTGTATTTTTTACTACCTACAATAAATCCTTTTTTTTAACATTTATAAAATACAGGTATAAGTATCATCTTATTTTATTATAGAAAATTAAAGACTACCAATATAAATAATATATAAATTTTGTACTAATACATGAACATTATTGAATGTACAGTATCCTCGGACCACGGAAATACACGTAATATATTACTAAACCTCTTCTCCCCCTTGTGGTATTTCGTGATTTTTTATGGACCCCCCCTTTTGAGCCTCACGTGATTAATGGACGGCCCCCTTATTGCACCCTTTGACCCTACGCGCTATTATGAATGCACTGTTAGCTGTAGGTACGGACTGCGAGGAAAAGAGACGGCTATACTACTGACCACGTATTTGAATATCACAAATATTTTCTATTAAATCAGTTTATAGTAAGTATTAGAACATTTGCTTCAAAATAGCAAATTAACAATCATTGATTAGATACTTGTCGAAAAAACGTTATTTTACATACTATAAGTATTTTTTTCGCATTATTTCCCGGAGCTCTGCGGCAATTTTACTTTTCAACGGTCCGCGCGTAACTGTGAACCAAGAAGTGCTTGAGTGGTGTTCAAGCACTTCTTGATCGGGACACATTTTGAGCGCACGTGGTGTATCTAGGGTATTTAATATCGTTGCTTGTTTCTTTAAAGATTGGTGCGCTACGCGGAGTCTTAGCGGAACTCCAAGCGAAGAAAAAGGAGAGGCAGTGGAGTCGGCACCAAACTAGCGGCGAGCTGGACGATGGCAAAATTATCGAAGGTCAGTAGGCAGAATAAATAAAAATAAATACATAGTTCTAACACTCGCACTAATTAACCTAGCCCTTAACTAGCGAGGCTTGTTGTACGTAATTATACATATATAGTGGATAGTATATTTTGTATAGATACATATAAAAACAGCCATTATTTAGGTACAAGTACTGATATTCGATATACAAATATTTGTCCCACCGAGATTAGTACTCAATGCCTCGGAGAAGGCAGAACTTTAATTGTTATTTATGCAACTGTTGTATAATGACGGATATTAAAACACACAGTCATATTGTATGGAGCACTTGCACTATGGCCTGTATATAATTGAACTAAAAATATATGATTAACTAGGAGATTTGCATCTGTACAATATGCCTCAAAATGTAAAGTCAGAGGTCGTATTCAGTCGCGTCATGTAAGGACAAGAAAATATTTATACACGTTACATTTTGTTTAGCAGAGATTAAAAAAATAAACACTTATATTTTTGCGCATGAAGTCTGGCTTTACTGCGTCATAACTTTTTTCACACAGCACTTTAGGTCTTCCCGCCATCCTCCTCCCTCCTTGTGTCGTGCTCCACATTGCTGAGGGTCGAGACTTCCACGAATTATTTTGTGGACGATCGCTTTCCACTTATTGCGGTCTTCCGCAGTGTGGAGTGCATGGTTTCCCGCCATATTTTAATTAATTTTAAGATAAGACTTTTTTATATACAATGCCTGTACTTTAGCTTTTGCTACATAGCTAAAGTACAGGCATTGTATATGAAAAAATCTTTCCAACGATATGTCGCATGTTATTATTAGTTCTTAGGTCAACTTCCATACACTTTTGCCCGTTCTTGCTTTGTCCGTGTAGGAACACTGGCCACAGTATTCCACTTGAAAAGTTAATGAGGTCATAATCTCAGGGATAACGGGCGAAAGGTCAATATACCGTCGCAGAATGGAACAGGAACCACCTCCGGGCGCTCCGCCTGACCGTCCTAAACGTTTACGGCTCGTGCTAGACGTCTCCGGCAGTATGTACAGGTACGAATTACATTTATAATGCGATTCAACTTAGTTACGTCACGTTACCCGCGCTACGCAGCGTAGTGCGTGGCAGTGTGAGTCCGAATATTCAGTCAATGTTGCTTTATACATATTTTTTACTAAAAGACACGGATAAATGATGTGGCTTTAATCTATGACAGTGTTAATTAAAAATTAAAAAAAAAGATGAAAGGTTCCGTACCTTTCATCGTTTTATCAGCCACACACATCAATTTAACGCGAACTGTCAAATTTACTCAATAAATTTTGAATCTAATCTTAAGAAATACAAAGCTCTCACATTTGAAGAAATTACACTTGATGTGAGTTGACAAATTGCCATTAACCTACACACACACACAGGAAAAACAGCAGGAGTAACTTTTGTTTTATTAAACCATATCTACCTGCAGGTTCAATTCATACGATGGCCGCTTAGAAAGGTCCATGGAAGCGGTAGTGTTGATAACGGAAGCTCTCCGAGGCTACGAGGCTCGCATACGATACGATATGTACGGACATTCTGGCGAAGAACATGCTTTAGAATTGGTGCGGGTAGATCGACCGCCTGAAAACGAGAAGGAGAGGTTACAGGTATTGTGACCATAGACATTTTTTCTCTAATATTCTCCTTTTACGTGAAGGCAAAGGATACGAAGTCGATACAGCCTCGTGGTACGCATATTCGCATCGGTATGTACGGATATTTTGGCTCTTGGAAAGTGCCATGGAAGCGGTAGTGTTGATAACGGAAGCGATGCGAGTCTACGAGGCGCGCATCCATTACGATATCTACGGACATTCTGGCGAAGAACATGCTTTAGAAATGGTGCGGGTAAATCAACCGCCTGATAACGAGAAGGAGAGGTTACAGGTATTGAGACCATAGACATTTTTTGTAATCCTCCTCCCTTTTTGTGAAGGCTAGGGATAGGAAGTCGATTCAGCCTCGGGGTTCGCACATTCGCCGATATGTACGGACATTTTGGCTCTTGGAAAGTTCCATGGAAGCCGTAGTGTTGATAACGAAATATCCGATAAGATATTTATTTATTTTCTTTTTTTTACGGTAATTTTGAGGATAAACACGCTTTAGAATTGGTGTGAGTAGATCGACCGCCTGACAACGAGGACAGGTTGCAGGTATTGTGATCTAGCTAAGGTAATAGAATATACTCCTTTCGGGGAAACGAGCTAGCGGTCGACGACTGCTAAGCTTTCAACAAATTTTCGCAGACGAAAACCTGAGTCGATTTGTATTATCAACTCATTTCGATGTACTGCTTTTTCGCTACAACGAAATTGAAAATACGAATAACTGTCTTATTATATTTTATATGATTGATGCATTATTCTGCTTGGTAAACCAAGCAGAATAAACTAAAGAAAAATTTTACTAGAAAAAGGTAGTTTAGCGGTTAGTGCATCCGCTTAGGCAGAGCGGAAGACGCAAGTTTGAGTCCTGGCTGAAACCTTGAACCCAGTTAATTTTTTTCTATACTAAGGCAAAAGGTAAACAAGCCATTAATGGGGTTTTCAATAGAACGAATTTTATGCGCATATTTAATAAAATATGAAAATTGACATTTAAAATACTGTAGGTATTCCTAAACATTGAACGCATTATAATACTACAAAATTAAAGAGTACTGATAAAGCAAATAATTTACGTTCAAATATGAAATTTTCATATCAGTCTGGTTGGTTACACAGGCCATCTTTACTTTCGATAAAAATGATTTTGAAACATTGGTTTATGTGTTTAACTTTTGTCTTAGAGGAAATTGAATAGAGTTTACAAAATGAAAATCTTTACATAATATATCTTATATGGTCCTTTTTAATTTTGGCGAAATCTATAATATTTGTAATAATACATTGAATTTATAGATAATCCGCACTATGCACGCGCACGCGCAGTTCTGTTGGTCCGGGGACAACACGCTTCCGGCGGCGAAGCACGCGATATCGACACTAGCCTCCGAAGACGCCGACGAGGCGATAGTTCTCATATTGTCCGACGCGAATTTACGACGGTGAGTAAGAAAAAGCATTTTTTCAAATTTAATGTACGGTCCAGTGCTGCCAGGTCCGATTTTAAAAAATCGGGAGGCATCTATAGAAAAACGCGGTAGATGTATGGAAAGAGCTACATTTTACAGCTTGCTGAAGGAAATTAAAACACCCACAAAGTAGTTAAGGTCCTTATTTGCATGCGGAATCGAGCGGCTGTAGCAGAGTCCTAGCGCAGACGGTCGGCTTCATAGCTATTTGAATTGCAATTACATTATGACTCTTTTACCCCATAGTTCTTAAATGATTCTTAAAGTTTTAAAGTGAAACTTCTTTAGTCACGCTTAACTTGGGGGGTAAACTGGCGAATGTGTTACGATTTCGCGTTACGATTAGTGTCATCGGTGACTTATCGGTAAACTATTAACAATACCCGTCACAAAATACATGAATCTAGTGCTTGGTGGGTGATAATGGACCCAGTGCGGATTGGAGGGTGATAACGGACACAGCGCGGATTGGTGGGTGACAATGGATCCAGTGCGGATTGGAGGGTGATAACGGACCCAGCGCGGATTGGAGGGTTACAATGGACCCAGTGCAGATTGGAGGGTGATAACGGACCCAGCGCGGATTGGCGGGTTACAATGGACCCAGTGCAGATTGGAGGATGATAACGGACCCAGCGCGGAAAGGTGGATTTTTTTCTATCAACAAATCTTCAGGTTTAGTTTATAATTTTCAGATCCTTGTAGCTAAAGAAGTTTCACTTCAGTCGTGTGGTCATAAGCACACTCGCTTTATTTTATTTGACTTATAGGCACAATTGGAAAAGATGGATTCACCATTAACTTCAATTAAGAATGTTGGTTCAAGCACGTTACACCATTCCACTTTGTAATACGCAGGGTAAATCGACCTTTATTAGCAGAACAGCTCAGTGAAGCTATTGAGGCTTGACCGTTTAAAATTGAATGTGTTAAAAGATTTCTAAAAATCCTTTCGTTACTCGCAAACCTTGTTTCACACGGACGTCGCCTATGTACCGCCATTGCAGTTTCGCCGTTGCGAGAGCTGCATTTATAGGAAATCACATACATAAAGAGCGATATGCAACATACGCGATATAACATACTTCCGGACACATCTATCGGCCCACTTAGCTAAAGCCGTTTGACTTTTATATAGACTAAAGACAATTTTATATAAAATGTTGGTATAATTATTAATTGTTTTTAGATACGGCATACACCCTAAGGAGTTGGGCACAATTCTGACATCAGACCACAGGGTGCAGGCACACGTGATTTTCATTGGCAGCCTTGGAGATGAGGCCACTTCGTGAGTGATCTTTTGCATTATTTACAACGATATTAAATACCCAAGATACAACAACACGAACAAAATCATGGTCATGGTCTGTCCAAAAGGTACATTGGATGATCCACAGAGCTTCGTAAGATGATCGCGTAGTCAAAAACAATATAAGGCATTATTTAAAGGTTGAAAGTCCCCTTTAATGCACACTGTATAAGGTCCTAATGAAAACGCTTGCGTCAATAACATATGTTAACGCCATCTATAGTAAGCTTATGAAAACACATTTACCTTATCCCTTCCTCTAAACTCACTTGTTGTCAACTTCGTCCGCGGCGCTGCCATCGCTGCACTTCAAAACGAACGGACGAGAGAAAAAGGCTACGTTGTGTGCTCTGATCGCCGCGAGAGGAGACACCAAGAAACTCTCACGACAGAGAAAAAACCGCGCTCCGGAGACGCTTTCGCCTAAACATATTTCCGCCCCGGGGCCCGCGAACATCCCGCGAACATTAGTGCAAAAAAAAAGGGCGCGCCACAGGCGAACATTTCTCCAGGACAGGAAGAACAGGCGCCAAAAAGGAACCAGCCCACAAACCAACAGGTACCCCCTTTCCTACTTCCCTCTAAATTTTTGTGTTTTCTTCTTGTATATAATCGCTCATCCGCGCCGGGAATTCGTTTAGTTTTGTGGCGTGACCAAGATGTGACAGTTTGTAATGCAATCTCGTAAAATTTTACGACTTATTGTTGTATGCGGAAGAATATATACCTTATTTATTATCTCTACACGAAATTCGGAATGCGCTGCTAGCAGGTACGGACCGCAAAGATAAGAGATGGCTATTTAACCGACTATCATTTGAATATTACAAATATTTTCTATTAAATCAGTTTATAGTAAATATTAGTACAAAATTTGCTTCAAATGCGTTAAATTACCAGACATTGAGTAGATACCTGTGGAAAAAACGACACTTTACATAATATAAGTATTTTTTTCGCATTTATTTACTGAGCTCTGCGCCATTTTGACTTTTCATCGGTCCGCGCGTGACTGTGAACCAAGAAGTGCTTTAGTGGTGTTCAAGCACTTCTTGGTTGGGACACATTTTGGAGCGCTCATGGTGTATCTTGGGTATTTAATATCGTTGATTATTATTTATTACAATAGGTAAACCATAGACAAATAAACTTACGCAGTAGGAGTGTTTTGTATGTGATAGTGCTACTGCGCAGCCTTCGTTCTCTATGGTTGTTGCTCAAAAAGTTAGCCGGGAGGTATACGCCGCTTAATACAATGGCAATGTCTTCAGCACTAAAAGGTCGTGGAGGCCTAATCTAATTCATTTATCGATAAACGAAATTCCGATCGAAGCTTCGCACGCTTCTGTTTCTTATTAGTTATGAATGAAATGAATGAATAATTGTTCGCCTGAAAAGTTTGAGGTATAAGTTCCGTCTCAAGTAACTCCTAGCTAACAAAAAAAAAAATTAACTCCCGGCTTATTCAGAGTTAAGTTAGCAAGTTATAACCCAGAGTTAATTAAATCGTAATTATGTTCTTAGAATAGACTTCATGACTATCATGTCAGTCATGACTTTTGTTCAAGGTCAATCCTAGAATTGGGATTCTTTCTAGAAAATTTCTTTAATTTTATTATATTTGCAGATTATTACGCCAACTACCTGTAGGCCACGCGCACGTCTGTATGGATGTGGCCAGCTTACCGCACATTATGCAACAAATATTCGCGTCTTCGCTACTGCAGACCACAGACAATTGACCATAGATACCGCGATTAATTACAAACCTCAGAACAAGAACTAAAGCAAAGAAAAAGTTAAAATTCAACTTGAATAGTTCTATTATTTTGACGTATAGACCTTTGTAAAGGGACAAATATATGTTGCTATAGCCCCTATTATGAACAACGTGCGTACCGCTATACAAACGTCAAATTGGTTACCTTTGTATGCTTTGTGGATACCTTGCTTACCTTTATACCAAATCAAAAAGCGATCTAATGTCAAATGCAACATGCCAACACGCCACTTTTTGGTTGGGTAATGCTTTGTTTAGAAATCTTTACGTTAATCTATTGTTTATGGGCGTCATAGCATTACTTCTATGCTTTAGTTCTTGTTCTGAGTTACAAATTTAATGGCAGGTGTGAAGTTAGCTCAAGTGGCGGCGCAGTAAACGAATTTGAGTTTGCGTGCGGGGTTTCACCAATTGAAATCTGCTCATAGTAGCGCTCGTTGCTAACTTCACAATCGTTATACAGTTTGAATCGCCCTGTATTAGAGCAAAATAGAACAATTTGTAACAAATAAAGGGTGTGTGAAAGCAAATGAGGGCTAGCTATTCGGTAAAAAATAATGCTTGTTAATATGTAATATACATTCCTAGGTACGCATATACTTAGAAATATTCACTAAGTATATACTGTGATGTGACTCATATTTTTATTAATTTTTATTTGAGTGTGTATACGACTTCAGTCCCTGTAGCATGAGCACTACAATTTACATTATATTATGTTTATCGCTTCTTAATGTCAAAATACATAGTAATTTGACAATTAAGCGTGATAAAAACGCGATATAAATCATATCGCCGTGCTCATGTCGGGGGGCAGATATTAAAACCAAAACCGTATTAGACTATTTTATGTATTGTAGGATTGCTATAATATGTTAATTAGTACTAAGAACAATTTTATATTGTGATAAAAAATTAATTAAAGTTTTAAGCTTCGACAAATATAATCACTTTTAAGATAGTGACTACCTCAAACTCTAGATTATGTTATTTATCAATTTTAACATATATCTTTACATTATGTTATATTTTTATATCGAATATTATATTTGCCTCGGTGCTGTGTTACAATAAAATGATTATCGAGAGCTGTTTGGTTTTATTTCCTTCCTGAATGTGAATTTCATAATATAAAAAAAACCTTCTATCAAATTTCTGATGGGGGATAGAAATTCCGGTTTTTTTTCTGAATCAATAAGTCCAGAGGCCCGGGTACGAACTTTGACAGAAGGAGCCAGTTTGTTCTTAAGTCCGGTATTAGCGCTGATTAGTTTTCATAGAAATTTTGATGCTGTGATACGATTACGGAGCTGTCAAAGTTCTCTACGACTACGGCTAACTAGAGCCGAGATCCGAGTCTCAGAGACGCCCTCTAGTTGAGCCGACCCCCTCAGGTTCGAGTGGTCTGGAGGCTCCAGACGGAGAGGAGACTCCCCCCGTGGGGAGACGCCATCCGACTGGAATACCTCCAGAGGCACTCGCCAATTCTCGGCTTGAGGTCCCCATTAGGATCTCGCCGTCCCCAAACCTGGTGACGCTGTAAAGGTCATCTGCGACCAACAGCATACACACTCAAAAAAAAATGTCAAAGTTCGTGCTTGGGCTTTTGTGCTGTGGTCTTTTAGTTTAATTTATGCGATACAAAAGTATTCAAAGGGTTAAATGGCACGATTGCACTTGGTCGTTGCCCGAATACGAGTGCCAATGTATTTCGGGTAACTAAGTGTAAATGAACGGAGTAGAGTACGCCCGTAGTCGGGTAGATTTCCCTTTGTTTACCCGACACTGTCTTCCAGCCCGTATTCCAGTGTAAATATTGGTTCGGGTGCCTGAATTCGAGTAATGTCTTTCATGCACCCGAATACGGGCAACGACCAAATGAAATTGCGCCATAAGTGTAAATGATCGGAGTCGAGTACGCCCGTATTCGGGTAGATTTCCTTTTGTTTACCCGACACCGTTTTTCTGCCCATATTCCGGTGTAAATATTGGTTCGGGTGTTTGGATTCGTGTAATGTCTTTCGTGCACCCGAATACGGGCTAACAACCAAATGTATTTGCGGCATAATTCTGGGTATGATTCTCAAAACTATACATTAGTCTTACGTTTTAATTCGGCATGTCTCAATATGATGCTCCGGAGGTAGTGTCCACAGCCGAAATACAAACGTGGATGCAAATTATTGAAGTATGCCTAAACGAGGTGTGCTCTATCTCATCCGACGGCAAGCTTAACTCAGAACAAAAGTTAAGAATTAACAATCTGTGCAGGAAAGTGTCCCATGGAACATCTCAGTTGGCAGTGCAATATCAGTCGCTGAAGCAAAAAACCATGGAAGTCCATACTTCTCTTCAAGTACGAAAAGAAAGACAAGACCTTATCTCAACGCCTACAAGATCTTAAACACAGCTTTGAGTCATCCAGACCAGTAGCGGGATCGGTTTCCTTCGCTGATATGGTGATTAAAAACATTGTCCAGCCGAAACCCATTAGTTCTGTTGCAATTTATCCTAAAGATAAATTAAAATCAAGCGAGGAAACACTCTCGTTCAGACACTTATTAAGCCTGATCAAATGAAGTTGCATGTCAGAGGGTTGCGCAAAACAAAGAATGGTGGTGTTATCATTAGCACCGAGAGCAAAGATGACATTGAGAAACTGAAGCAGTTGACACAACTCACCACCTCCGGCCTCACAGTAGATGAACCACAGAAGCGCAAGCCCAGGATTGTCGTTATAGGTATACTAACATCTATGCCGGAGTAACAAGTTTTCAGTTGTTTATACAAGCAAAATTTGGCCGATTCACTTTAAGGTACATCACTTGATTCCTTTTTGACCTCCATTAAACTTTATAGTAATATAAGTTATTTACGGGATTGTTACCATGTACCTTGTTTTTAGCGAGCATGTACGACGAGTCTTACAGAGTAATGGATACCAGAGACATTTTCCATCTAGACACAAACTAGGGCTGTATACAGAAAGAAAGCCGAAAACCGATCGGCGCCGATCGGCGCTTATCGGTGCCTATTGACGCTGATCCTTTTTCTATGGACCGGCGCCGATAAACGCCGATAAGCGCCGACACGCGCTGGTCCGAATAATAAATAATTTGTATTTGAATTATTATCCTTAGATTAAATCAATCTAAGTTATAATCTTTTTATAAATCTAATAACTTTATCTTTTATTAACTAAGCGCTAAAATTATTTGTTTCGTACTTACCGAATGGTGACAACAAGTCTTTCTTCTGGAAGGATTGGTTGTTTATGCCAATTGCCCCAATTTTTCATCAAACGGTTTTTCACTAAATCCAAAATGTAATAAAATGTTTCTTGAATCATTCTTGTATATGTATAAAATCTTTGTTCATCAAATTTAATTTTTTTTACAAATTAATGATGGTATTCTCCGAAACGTTTCCTTTCTCTATTTATAGGATGTATAACTGTTTTTCGCATTTTTAAATAAATATTTTCTAACAAAACCAAATCATCGTCCGATGAGTCCGACATTTTGCTTGATCTGCTTTAATCGGCTTCCTTTATGTAGGAAGGATCGGCGCCGATCGGCGCTTATCGGCGCCGATCGGCTTTCGGCTTTCTTTCTGTATACGGCCTAAGACACCAGAGACACAGAGTAGACAGACAACCTGTTTATTTGCCATACGTCAAAGGAGTGACTGACAAGATCTCAAACATACTGAATAAGTACTCAATAAACAATGGAACACTTAAAAGCAATCAAGAACAACGATACGCAGAAATCAGCCATCGCGGAACATTTGATTGATTCTGGTCCTAACCACTGGATTGAGTTTCATAACCCACAGATTATCTCGACAGAACGCCACTACATACCAAGATTGGTCAGGGAAGCGATTGAAATAACAAAACATAAAAATTTCAATCGTGAGGACGGGTTTAAATTGTAGAGTGTCTGGAATCCTGTGGTTCGTATGTGTAAAATCGGAAATAATCAAAAAAGTGTCGTGTCGCGATCCGATACTGTAAGTGTTGTGTGTCGAGAACAGTTTCGAGTGAATAGTGAGAATGTGAACAGTGGTACGGGTATCGAACGCAATAAGACTTCGTCGGAGGGTAGACCGATATGTCTGCCAATAACAGCCTACCCGCAATTACTTCAGTTACACCGTGATCATGGCGCTTGCAACAGTGCCGAAATATCAGAAACTCGCTAAAAACAAGGTACATGGTAACAATCCCGTAAATAACTTATATTACTATAATGTTAGTGACCATGAAAGTTTAAAATAAATATATCCATTAAACTTAGTCATAAGTCAGGAAAGAAAGACGCTCAGATATGTAAATATATAATAGAAGTCCCCGCAAACATACGCAAAGCTTTAATTATGCAGGAGAGAGTCTTTGTGAACTGGAATTCATGCCCTATTAGAGATTTTATTCTAGTTACCAGATGCTACAAATGTCAGCAGTATGGACATGCAGCCAAAACCTACCGCGAAGAAATAAACACATGTGGCCACTGCGGTGAATCGGGCCACACCATAAAAGAGTGTTCTAAGAAAACAGAGTAACCTGTTTGCATTTTAAAAAACTGAGTACCCATCGTACTGGTGATACGGAGTGTTCTGCCAAAAAACAAGCCGCAAAAAGATACATTATGAGGGCGCCTAAGAGCGCCACTTTTCCTTAGATAGAATTAGCACACTTTATTTTATTCACTCTTTTTAATCTTTACTATGACTGATAGATTAATTGCAGATTTATCTGAGTCAAAAATCTGCGAAGTAGAATACATTTCTATGTGCAAGCAATATTTTTCGTCTTACATTAATTCACTAACGATACTAACACAAAACATACACAGTATTTATAAAAAAAATATAATTTCAGTATTTTCCAAGAGAGATTAGTTAATGACTGCGACGTTATCGTTTTAACCGAATGTTGGCTTAGTAAAAATAGCTGTTTACCTCTCATCATCATCATCATCAACAGCCTATCTTAGTCCACTGCTGGACAGAGGCCTCTCCAAATGCACGCCACTCAGATCGATCTTGGGCTACTCCTCTTATACCTGGCTATAATAATTATAACAGGAAAGTGAACTATAATCAAAATGATGGTGTTGTTGTAAGTTTATGCAAGAAACAATTTAACTGTCACTATCGAGGAACCAAATAAACAGGACTAAAATTAAAATTGACTCTGATGTTGCAATACTAGCTCTGTATAGACCACCTTTTTTTAAAAGCTTAAATAGTTTTATGGAATCGCTTACAATCACATTAAATAATGTATCGTCCTTCAAAAATGTTGTATTAATCAGAGACATAAATATCAAGATTCTCCTAGAGTGTAATGATTTTACTACTCAGGATTATTTAAATTTATGTTCGTATCATGCTTCCCACTCATCAAAGTGGCTCTTGTTTTGATCACATGATAAAATTCAAGTTTCCATCAATGAGATTAGTTACTAACTCCCCAATAACCAATCACAGAGCCGTCCTACTAAACCTAAATCGTAATTTTCCGAAACTAAACCACACGCAAACATTTACTAAAATAAATGCATATAAACTTAGATAACAAATAAGTGGCATTGACTTTGACCCAGTTTATTGTTGCGATGACGCGGAATCCAGTATGTCTTACTTAGTAAATAATGTACAACAAGCAATATCTAAAAGCACTACATTAATTAAATTATGTAACAAAAATTACAATATTAAGCCCTAGAT